GTTAAAATTGCTCCAAAATACACAATGACAACTAAATACACCATATATTCTATTGGGGAAAGGAGAGAAAATGAGCTAATAATAAGAAAATCTAGACATTTTCATTCTCTTTCCTACTCCCAAATATCAGAAAATTCTTTTTAAATTCAATCCAAGAAAATATTATTACTTCTTACAAAGAGAACAACTCTAAAAGACACTAAGTATTGTAAATATTACCTCATTTTTTTCTTGCTTAGCTGGTCCTGGATTCTGTGCTCCATTTGCAGGCTCTTTTTCTGAAACTGAACTCTGGCCCAAGATTTCACTGCTGATAGGCCGCTGTGCCTCAACAGGTGTATCACTTCTTCCAGAAAGGTGCAAAAAACAAAAAGGCAGAAGTGGGTGTAAAGGAAAATATGTTTTAGTTAGAAGATTTTAATTTAAAAAAAGTAATATTTAGCCTGTTTATCAACAAAAATAGATTTATTTTTCTTTCTTAAGCACACTAGAAAAAGGGTTTTTTAAAAATAGAATGTGTTTTTAATAGAGGAGCACCGGGTTATTAAGCAAAGAGAGTAGGATCTCCAGTCTAAAATCAGTTGTGTAACCTTGGGACAGTTACTTACATTCTCTGGGACTGAGCTTCATTTATAATAGGCTAATGAATATGAATAATAAATTGGATGATCTAATGCCTAAATTCTCTTTATAAAATCTAAACTTTTTATACAAACTTTTCCTCTAGTATGTTTCTATAGAATTTTAAGAATTTTTGAGATTTTATTAAAAGACTTCCTTTGGTCTATTTATACTTAAAAGCTAAACATACATCTTTTCAATTTATTTATTAATTTATTTTGAGACAGAGTCTCCCTCTGTTGCCCCGGCTCCAGTGCAGTGGCATCATCATAGCTCACTACAACCTCAAACTCCTGGGCTCAAGTGATCCTCCTGCCTCAGCCTCCTGAGTAGCTGGGAATACAGGGGCACGCCACCATGCCTGGCTAATTTTTTCTATTTTTCGTAGAGATGGGGTCTCACTCTTACTCAGACTGGTCTCGAACTCCTTACCTTAAGAGATCCTCCTGCCTCGGCCTCCCAGAGTGCTAGGATTATAGGTGTGAGCCTCTGTGCCTGGCCTCAGTATTTTTAAAGTATACTAACTGTAAGCTTGAGATCTTATGTCAGGTTGTTCCTAATATTCTTCTAAAATACTAACGATTTCTAATTTTCTTGCTACTTTATTCAAAAATTTTAATAACTTCATCTGAAGATGATATATCCCAGAGACATTTATACAGATTACCACGTGAACAACTACAAAAGTAAAATGATCTTTGCCTTCAAGAAATGTGATTATGAGATGGCCTCATAATGGCCTCTCCAGGCAGAAGTATGTAAGACATATCAAAACATAGGTCTAGGGCTCATGAAAACAGAGCTGGATAGTGGTCTTCACAAAGGCACTATTAGGTAGGAGCCTGTACTCATAAGTACCTAAACATACCTACATGCACACATCTAGAGGAGAAAGCAAAAAGACCTCCGAAGACTTTTTAGCTACCAGACTGTAAATTACTAATGACCACAAGCCCCATTTTATGTCCATAAAATAGAATTTTTAAGAGTTGTTAACTGTTAGAGATAGAATAAAATGATCTTCATAAAGTAACATTTCATTTAATTGTGTAATTTTTGTAGAACTTCCATATGCATTATCTCATTTAATTTGTATAATAATCTGTGAAATAAGCTATAACCCCCATTTTATAGAAAGGAAACAGACTCAAAAGACAAGTGATTTTCCTAAAATTGCATAGCTGGAAAATGGAGCTGAAACTTGAACTCAGTCTTCAAACTTGAAATCCAACGCTGGCCCACACTTGAGATACTTCAATTTTGAGATCATTACAGGCTTACATATTTCAACTGATTTTTCTCTCTTTTGAATTTGTTTCTGTTCAAGTGAAAAGATATCCTTACAAAATACCACACTCTCCCTTATAAACCTATCTTTCATGTTTTATCTTCTTGTTCACCACAGTAGCTCAATCATTGTATCCCAGTACATAGCACAATGTTAACACACAGTAAACACTCAAATATTTCTTAAATGGATACTGACTTCAAACAAGTATTATCACAAGTAGGAATTTCTTTGTGGCATCTTTAACATAATTTATCTAACTGAGTTTCCCAATATGTTTAATTACACCTAAAATATTTTTTAAAATAACTGTTCCAAATTTTTTTTTTTGAGACAATGTCTGACTCTGTTGCCCAGGCTAGAGTGCAGTGGTGTCATCATAGCTCACTGCAACCTTGAACTAGTGGGCTCAGTTGAT